GAAGGATTGAATGCTGCCAGATCTCCCTGTTGTCTCCATTAAGATTAACACTTAAGTCATGGTGTACTTAGCAGTTATCATTAAATCACTTAATACAATGTCTGTAAAGTGGACCTTAAGATGCATTTGGTTGTTAAGTAATACCTGGAGTTTTCTGAACACTTTTTAATAAGGTGTGCATTTTGGGGAGGTATTTTTTGTGAGCTTAAACCATTTTTTTTCTACTGGCTGGTAAACACTTGGAAGATGTTTTTCTGCCCTCTACTAAAATAAGGGGGACAATAAGAAAATAAATGCAGAATACATATTCTGATCTACTGTGAAACATGTTTTGAGATTTCTTTTATCCTTCTGCAGCCTTGTGCAGATTCAGTGCCTTATGAAGAGGCTTTGGCTAATCGCAGAGTTCTTCTGAGTTCCACAGAAAGTAGAGAAGGTCTTGCACAACAGGTATTCTGGTATAAATTTTACTAACATATATGACTGTATTTTATAAGGGTAAAAATAGTATCAAATAGTCTCCACATTTATGTGTATGGTTGTATGTATATAGGCATATACTGCAGCTTAGAATTAGACTGTAGATGTCTTATTTGTAGGGTTTTGAAAGTATAACTTACCCTTGTCAGGCTGGGTTATCCAAGACTTGTTCTCCTGTACCTGCAGAATGTACACATAGTTATAAGAGATGGGATTATGCCATTGATGTCTTCATTTATAAATACAGGAAGTCAGGCAATCTTTAGTAATTCAAATAAATGCAAAATAAGAATAAGGCATACTGAAGTATTAATTTCAAATGTTATGTACTATTTCGAGTGCTTTTTTGGACTACTCAGGATTTATTAGCTCTGGTTAAGAACAATGATTTTTCTTTTCAGTTAAAGTCTATTAATAGATTACAGTTTATCATTCTTGCAGTGTGCAGAGGGAGGTTAAATCGTATTTAAAAGGCATATGCAGTTTGCCTATCTCCTCATATGAATGAGACCTGCTAACTGATTAATGCTAAAACTTCTTTATTAGCTTGAATGTCAGACTACTTGAGTCACTCATGGAATTTTTACAGAAGAAAGACTTCAGTGTTGTTTTGTGTGTGTGTGTTTTTCTTTTTTGTTTTGTAGTGGCCAATATTGAAAGTGTAGTAGTAGGGATGAGATGAATTTAAACAGAAATGTATGGAGTGATATGATGTGTACCATTCCATAGCTGATTTCTTATATGGACAAGTGGGTGGTTCTGTCTGTGTGAAGTGGGGCAGCTGGGAGGGAAGAAATTGTTTGTCTTTCTAGCACAGAACAAGACAATGCTAGTGCCAGGCACACATCCTTTAGGTTTTCAAAGTTTTTCCCTGCTTTGATTTTTCACCTGTTTTTCACTGTTGCCAGTTCTGTGAGCTGTAACTTTGTGATTCATGTTTCAGCCTAATTAAAGAATGTGGTATTTTTGACACATGACCATCACAGTACAACTTGAATCATAGTTGTTTACCTGCTGCATTATTCATTAGCTCACTTATGTAATGGTTTAAAATAATACTGCCTTCAAACATTTCCTGTGTGTGACTTTTTTCCCCCTTGTGTTCAATAACCCGGACTGTAAACTTTCCCTCCTAAAGGTCCAGCAGAGTTTGGAGAAAATTGCAAAACTTGAACAAGAAAAAGAACATTGGATGTTGGAGGCCCAGCTAGCGAAAATAAAGCTAGAGAAAGAAAACCAAAAATTGAAGAACTCTCTTAGTGGACATTTAACTGAAACTATACAAGAGCGTTCTGTTTTGCCAAACGTAGCTGAACAAAAGAAGGAAACGACAGAAAAGAGTCCAAGGGAACCTATTAAAAGTACTAGTCTGGTAAGTGACCTTTTTCCTTCAACAGAGAAAAATCCACTTTCTTCAATAGTAGTAATGTTTGATCAGAGGAATGCTAATAATGAAAGTTTTTTGACTGTGGTGAAATGCATTCACTTGGGTTCCTTGTATTTGCAAAGCTGTTTGCTTTATTATTTATTGCTGGTATTAATCTTCCGCAGAGTTTGGAACTTCCTGGCTTTTGAGACTTTGTCTGGTATCTTTAGTATCATGGAGACATTTTTGCAGTTCCGTACTTGTGACTGAGGGGGAAATATTAGTAGATGCTTAACTTCTAGGTTTTTCTGATTCTATACTCAAGAAGCCTTGGAAGTAGTATGTATCTCAGGTCAGCTCTGAGTTTCCAGTACTTTTTTTTTATCCTTAGGTATTTTAAAGCAAACAGAAGTAGGTAGTTGGTATTTTTAAATGGGTTGAAAGATTTACTATAACTTGGTGCAGTATAAGGTAATTTTAGCTTGAAGCCATTCAAGATTTCAGTGCTGTCTGGAACACTAATTTTTGCACAACCTTCATAGGTACATACAACTTGGGCTCAACAACTTTGTTTGGATATGGCATGTATTCTGTCTGTCCTTGCTCTTCTGTGTTGGGTAAATGTCTTTCCTGTTCGTTGCTAGTATTTAAAAGAGGTTGGCCTTTCCTCTGAATTCCCACTTCCAAAGGGGTATTAATAGGGATGTCGTCTGTAAGAAAGAAACAATCTCCTGAGCTCAGCACTCGATAGAAATCTGCCTTTTTTTTTCCTTTTTTTTTCTCTTCACTTTCCTGCTCCAGGATAAAAATGACCTGTGGATTGTTTTGAAATCCCCATTTTTGAAGTAAACTGGCATCTTAAGTTTTTGGTCCTGTATTTGAGCTTTTAAGAGATCGAGGAGAATGATCTTTTCTAGCCACAATGCTTAATGTAACTCCTGGGTCAGCATACTGTATAAACATTTCCCGTAAACCTAAATCTCTAGTCCTGTTAGGGTCAGGAAAAAAACCCTCTTGACTCTATGAAGACATTCTTCCATGAAGCTAGTTATTTACATACACCCCTCTGCTAGAGTTCTGTCAGTGCTTCATACTGGACTGCCAAAGTGGAAAGAAAGGAATTCAGAAGGTACTCATGAAATCCAAGATGGGTTTTCTTGTACTGATGTACCGCTGAATTAGTTTCATGTAGTCAAGCAGTTGCATAGTCATACAAGCTGGCTGCATCTTGTTGCTTCTATTTCCTTTGCTCTGTGTTACATCGTAAGGCAAAGGATATATTCGGAGAGTTGGTGTCACCTTTAATTCTGTTCAAGGCATTAATGTATATTACCCTTGTTTATGTTACAGGTGGAAGTACTTAAATTTTATTTTAGTTTTAACTGCTGCAAGATGTGTGGGTTTGTTTTTTTTTTAATTTAAAGTTCTCCTGTGACTGAAGCTGACATGACCTGTAGCTATAGTATCTATTTTTGCAGTTCTCACTTAAGCATGTTTTCTTTCTTGTTCTAGATTGGAATGTTGACTATAACCACTGATAATGAAAAGGTAATCTGTTTTAAACATTACCAAAGTACATCTGGTAAATACTTTAATTCTGATTCTGTTAAACGTATGCCAAAGGTCTAATTACCAAGAATACTGTCATATTATGGCATGAGTCACCCATGTAGTCTCTATCTTCACGTTTCTGAAATCCATGTATTTCTTAACTTCTTCTGTTTAGTGAACCATTATCTTTTATTTATGTAAGCAGTTTGGAGCAGTGTGAGCTGTGGCCCAGGTCTGCCCTCTGTAACTTGAGGAAAGCATTGGTCTGTTTGTACTTCAGTAACCCTAACTGCATTCCAAGCATCAATTCTTAATTCTTGAGGAAGGGCTCAAGCTGCAAAACAGTCACTGACTGTAGTGCCTGGTGTTTAACACTGGCTGTCCCAAACTAGAGGTCACACTGGAAAAAAACTTTGAATCAGCTGTCAAACCAAATGTTAACCCTTTTTTTAGCACTTCTACAGTGTAACACTTGCCCCAGTGGGAACTTAGCAGAGTAAGATTCAATGCTTTCCCTTTTCTGACACTGCAGGGAACTGATGTGTATTTTAGTTTACTTTCCCTTTTCTTCTGAAGGTGTGATTAAAAAGGGGGTGGGAACCAGACAATAATTGATACAGGTTCTTAAAAGCTACTGCATAGTGCTGAACTTGAAGGTAATGATAAGTCATGTGAAAGCTGCCTCTAGTGGGTTACTCTGTATCTTACAGTAAACTGCTGAGTTGTGGTTTCTTTGGTTTTTTTTAAAAGTTCAAATGTCTAAACAAATTTCTAGAACATGCAATGTAATGTAAGATACAGTTCTGGCTGTTGTAATCTTCTGCCATTTAGTTATGTGAAGACATTCTTTCTTGTTGGAAAAGCCAGTAAGTTTTTTATGTAGGTGAAAGCAGTCCATTTCTCCAATGGATTTTCATCTTCGTCAGAGACTTGATATGTTAAATCAAGATAGCTTCTTAGATATTTGGTCAGCTCTTCATCTTTTAAGGAAGTCTAACACTAAGAGTCAATATCGGTGACCTGCTGTAATTTATTGTGTTTGGGGAATTTATTGCTTTCAGGTAGAGCAGGCAGGTCTTAGGAGGGAAGAAGTCAGTATAGAGGACAATGTTATGACGCAGATATTCAGGCTACTAAACATAAATATCTGTCTCCTTTAAATTTTTGCTTTGCCAGGCTCCAGATGCTGAGTCTCGTGAAGACCTGATAAAAAACCACTATATGGCAAGGATAGCAGAACTTACATCTCATCTGCAGCTTGCTGACAGCAAATCAGTACACTTTCATGCTGAGGTGAGCATACAGGCAGTGTCTATACTGAAACCAGTAAATCTCTTTGAATTTTCCCCTTGCAAGTGTTATGACAGTGAGTATAAAATATAAGGAACATAATGTTTAATATAAATCTGTTCCTGGAATATGTTTTTTGGCTGTGGTCTAGTATGTGTAGAAATGGGTACTGTAGGAAGATTTTTTTTATTTTTAAATAAATCCTTTGGTAGCCTTGTCTTGTATTAAGAGGTACAATGTGTATATCTATAGCTTTGTTCATGCAAGCTGAAGCAGCTGGCTTTAGTTACCAAGCTAGTTTTGACTTCATCTTAAAGCAATGCTGTCATCATTCAAAAATACTTGAGTGTGTTGTGAAGTGATGAAAACAGCTTTCCTCTGAGAAATTGGGTGTTAGGCATAAGTTATACTTAACTTCAAGAATTAACAAATCAATTCATTGTATTTGTGACTTCCTGCTTTCATTTCAAATCATAAGTAGTTTTTCTTGAAATTAGTGGCCATTTTGATTTGTGTAATTAACTGATGTGGAATATACCAAAAGCTCCAGGTTGACAGAGCAAATACTTTTAAATATTTTTTTTAATAGTAAATGACATAGTATTGAGGAACAGCCTTTCTCTGATGTTTGAGCAATGTATGAAGTTCTTCGTGTTGCTTTTTTCTTATTAAATTTTTCCTAGTAATTGTGTGAAAAATATCATATTTAGAGGATTGGCAATATGATAATTCTGTAAAACGAAAAAATTTTAATGTTAACTATTACATTACCTTTGCATTTAAAAATGTGCATAAGCTCTAAGTTTCTTGCAGTGTAAGGGTTACAGAAAGATGAAAACATCCAAAGCAATCATTTAAAGGTGGTGCAAGTTGATACTCTGGAATTAACTTTCCTCCCTTCTATCCTCCCTATTCCTGTTTGATTGACAGTGTCGAGCACTTGCCAAAAGACTGTCTTTAGCAGAGAAGTCCAAGGAATCGCTCACAGAAGAGTTGAAACTAGCTAGTCAAAACATCAGTAGATTACAGGCAAGTAAACTGTATATATAATGTAATAGATGCGTTTCATAATTATATGAAAGTGGAAGTTGGAGGAGAAAAATGACGACCATCAAATGTGGTCATGCCTTTACTAGGCACTTAGTTATGCGATGTAAAAAATATAATGGTATGTAGATAAGAGATTTAAATAATACACTTCAGATCCCAGGTATAAAGTTGAAGTGGAACATGCTTGCAAGGAAAAAGTTATAGTAGCCGTGCCTGTGATTTAGCACATTTGATGTCAAGGGGTTTTATGAAAATGTGGTTTTATGTCAAAAGGTGTGGTTGTATGACTGATTTCAGTGACTTGTTTCCCTCTGCAAGGCAGGATCACATTGTGTACAGCCAGGACTTGCATCTGCTCTGAGGAGTTAAATGTGAGACTGACAAAGCTGACTACACATCAGTCCATTTAACTTAGAAAACAGGACTAGGAAAGTGATGAAAGTGCAGTTTCCTAGGTGATACACTGAATTCTTAATCCTTTCTAGCACCTGGGACTGAAAGTCTTAGAAATGCTAGGGTGGTTTTTTTGAGATAGATAGCTTAATATTAAGCAAAAATAACTTTGGGGTAATCTTTAAGAAGCCATTGTTAACAGTAGATAATAAACTCTTACACCGGATGTCCTGTGAATGTCCTGTCCCTTTGTCCTTCCCTTCCACACAGTTCAGAAAGGAGCCAATAGTAAAATAAAGTATATATAAATAGTGCTATAATGCCCTTGTTTTCTTCATATTTAGTTCATATCTTTATTTCTAACCTGTCTGAGATGGTGAGTACCTAAAATGCTCCATGCAGGCAGTGAATATAATGATATACACTTAAAAGAACTGTTCATGAATACAAAGTGCTCTTTTGATTTGTTCCTTTAACAAATTCCACAGTCAATATCCGACTCAACATGAGATGTTAATCTCCAATTATATATTAAACTTCCTAAGAAAAAATAGTAGGCACACCATTTGTATGTTTAGTAGTCTGCATAATATTGAATCATAGAATTGTTTAGTTTGGAAGGGCCCTCTGAAGGTAATCTGGTCCCCTCCTTTGGTCAGAGCAGAGAGAGTTCAGATCAAGCTGTTGAATCGGGAGTTTCTTGTACAGCCATGCTGGCCTTCTGCCACAGTTGCTCAATTTCCTAAGTGTTGGACTGTTCTTTGATCGTTCAGCTTTCCTGGGCCCCTTTAACTTCCAGGGGAGTTTTACCTGGGAGCTTGCCAAGCAGACCTTGAAAAAGCCAAAATCTACTCTTCTTAAATCTAGGGTTGCTGTAATTCTACTATTCATCTTGCTTGCTTCCCTCAGGATCTTAAATTCCACTAACCCATGGTTGCTGCAGCCAAGGCTACCATTGGCTTTCACATCCCTGACCAGCTTTTCCTTATTTGTGAGTAACAGGTCCAGCAGAGAGCCTCTCATAGGCCTATTGATCACTGGTACCAAGAAGTTCTTTATCACACTTGAGGGAACTCCCATGTGCTTGTGTCCCACCTTGTTGCCCTTCCAGGAAATATTAGGGTGGTTAAAATCCCTCATGAGGATCAGGGTCTGGAGTTGTGTGATTTCTGTCTGCTTGTAGCAAATGCCACCCATATCACCCTTGTTCTCCTCTGATCCCTACCTATGAGATCTTGTCTTCAAACTGCTCCTTCACATAAAGCATGACTTCTTCCCTTCCTATCCTGTCCTTCCAAAAGTGTCTGTATCCCTTCATTGCTGCATTCTAGTCACGCACCCTATCCCACCATGTCTGTCTAATGCCAGAGTTCATAGCTCTGCAGACTGCATGTGCATTGCTGATTCCTTCAGCTTTGTATGCCACGGGTGTTCATGCACAGGCTGTGCTCTAACCTTATAAGCTTTACTTGTTTCTTGGCTGGAAGCAATGTTGGAAAACTTAGCTGTCAGTCTTTTATGTAAGCCATATAAAGTGAGGGAAAAAGTTATAAAGGAAATGGCAAAAATAACAGACAGTGCATGAGACTTCAGGTAAAAGAAAAATAGCTATTGAGTTTTTTCAGCAAGTGAGGTTTTTTTTCCAGTGGTTTAGCTTAATTGCACACATTCAGCATCAAAAGTGTGGCTTACTAAGTGGAGACAAAGTTGGTTGCTTTGCCTGTTGTCACTAATACTGAGCAAAGGCTTCTGATTATTTTTTTTTTCCCTTAGGATGAATTGATGACAACAAAGAGAAGTTATGAGGATCAGTTAAGTATGATGAGTGACCATCTCTGCAGTATGAATGAAACATTAACTAAACAAAGGGAAGAAATTGATACACTAAAGATGACTAGTAAGGTAAGTTACCAGGTGTTGGCATTAGGCACTGGTTGCAGTTTGGAGGT